AATTGGAAATGATCTTCTTGAGCCATTCACAGATGGGATGCTCGGCTCAGTCAATCCAAGAGGGATTATCTTTTATAATAAACTTATAGACAATCTTCTAAGCAAAGGTACCGGTGCATGAGCACTCGATTTACTAAGTAGCAAGTTACTAGCCAAATTAAACAACTTTTAGTCATCTAACTCTGCTACCATGCAGGAATAGAGCCATTTGTGACAATTCACCACCATGACCTGCCCCAAGTACTAGAACAAAGAGACGGGGGTTGGCTCAGTCCGGTATTAAGGTACAAGTAAAACTATTTGCACAACGTCTACTAATCAGATTCATATATTTGTGATCCGTAAGTGTGGTTCAAATAGCAATATTCATTATGGCATTCTCTGCTATGATAAGTGATATAACTATGTCAAGCTTTTAGGAGTTCTCAAGAGTTCATTCTTTCACTGTTGGTGCAGGAAAGAGTTTGTACATTTTACCTCTATATGCTTTGAGAGTTTTGGAGATAGGGTAAAGTACTGGGTTACCATAAATGAGCCCAATATGATGGCTAAATTTGCCTATCTCAAAGGACTATATCCACCGGCTCATTGTTCTCCACCATTTGGCAATTGTTCCACTGGCAATTCTGACATTGAGCCTCTTATTGGAATGCACAACATGTTAATAGCACATGCTATGGCTGTTGAAATGTATCGTACTCTTTTCTGGGTACGTATTTTTTTCTTCATCAAACTGTTAACTACTTCATTTTTTATACAAACGATAATAGGGGGATTCAAACTCGGATGCAAAGTGAGGAACAACTCCGCTCTATCCAACTTGGCTAAACCCATATCTACTTAACTACTTACATTAATGTTACAGCCGAAGCAAAATGGGTTTATTGGAATTGTTGCGCATGCATTCATGTATGAACCGCTCAGGGATGAAGAAAGGGATAGGGATGCTGTTGATAGAGCCTTGGCTTTCAATGTGGCCTGGTAAGTGCTCTTCAATTTGTTTAGCCATAATTTATTAGTAATCATATGTTTCACGAGTCCTTTAAATCTTAATAATTTATTGAAAAAGTTCTATTTTTTCAGTCCACTAGGAAATAATTTATTTAATTAACAACCACCATGAATAAAATATTGTTTAAGGTAGCCATTTTCCAAGTTTATATTATCTGACCAAATATTTAAAACCTTAACTATTTGTCCCTTCTGATTTCTTTTTGATGGGACCTAAGGCCATCTCCAGTCATGAGCCATAGACCAAATATAGCCCTAAATTAATGCAAAATCTATTTTCAGCCATGTGCTAAAAATTTTTTTGGCCACATTTGGCCCTTTAGCCCTCCAACTAGGCCAAATATAGCCTAGCTTTGGCTTATGCTAAATTTTTTTGTGGACTCAGCGCATGTGCTTCCAAAGAGGAGAAAGTATCATGTGTGGGCAAGAGCACGAAA